GTTTGCAGACCGCAGTGGGGCCACGGAGGGAGGGGGCCAGGGTGAGGACGCCGCTGGCCTGGCAGCCCCGGCCGGGGTCGGACGCCGGCCCGTCGGGGCGCGGCGCGGGCAGCCAGGCGGCCCCAGAACTCTGAGCGAGCAAGACGAGAGAACAGTCGCTCCTTGCAAAGACTGTGTCATTATCGGGCTGCAGATCGTGTCTGCCGGAATCCGACTTGCAAAAGCAGCTCAGGACTCTGGGAAGGAAATCTTTATTTTTCCCCGCAGGGCTTTTTAGAGCCTCCTGGCCGTCTGGGAGTCTAGGAGAGCTGGGGTGCGTGGTGAGACTCACCCTCAGGTTTGTTGGGATCCTTCCCAGCACTAGGAGTGGGATCTGCTCGCTGGTGATCCGCGAGGCCTGGGCAGCACTGTCTCTCGCAGTCTCACTTTCTTGGTACAACCTTCCTATCCTGGCGCTTCACCCCGGGAAGAGGTCTGGCAGTCGTTTTGAGTCTTGTAGTCCCTTCCTTTTCTGAAGGTGTTGCAAGGACCCTTCTGAGAATGATAAAATAGACTTTAGAGTCAAAGGAGCCTTTGAAACTTGTCTAGATTTCTGGTAGACCTACATTCCCCCTATGTAAGTGTCCATATTCAGAGAGGTTGAGTAACTTCCAAAGTCACACAGCTGGTTAGTAGTGCAGCTGGGGCTAGAACCCCATCTTCTCTTCTACCTGATTGCCACATACCCTTTTGTGTAAGAGAAGCCACAGCCACAGTTGTTAATGAAGTAGAAACTCTAGTTGGAGTTTCCTGTCTACTTCTCCACCAAAGGTGTGTTGCTTGGATTGCGGAAACTGGGAAAAAGAATGGGGGAGACCTGGGGGAAGCAGTGAAGGATGTCTGTGTGGTGGACAGGATGACTTGTGCAGGAAGAAATGTGTTTTCATAGGAAGAATGGGGTAAAACTTAACATTAAAATCTTGTCTGAGGGCAACCCTGGCCATTCTTCTGACTGAGGAAAGTTGATTCTACACCCAAAGGCTTCCTTTTCATTCATTCATTCTTCAACTTTTTTTTATAAGCTCAGTCCTTGATTTTATAGCATGTTTTCACTGTTGACAACCCTCTTCCACTGAAAGTCTCCCCCACTTCTTTTCTTGGCATTAGATTGTCTTGATTTTCCTTTTTGATCACTCTGACCCACTACCCACTTTCCTATCCCTCTACCTACCTAGGGTTGGAACATCTATGGTTCAGTTTGACATTCTGTTTTTTCTCATTACACTCCCTCCCTGAGAAATCTTCTTCAATCCCACACTTTGTCCATTGGGAAGATCCCTACATCTCAATATCTTCAACTGAAACCCCAGACCCACATATCCAGCACCCACTGGACACCGTGATATAGATATTCTAAGATTTAGCACCTCTAAAACTAAGCTGTGCATCTCCCCTAAACTACCTTCCCTTTACTCTTCTGTTCTTCAGTTGCCTGACTTTGTTCTTTGAAGAACTCTCTCTGGTGAGTCTGTGCTTCCTTGTCCTCTGCTTCCCATCCAGTTGGTCACTGGGGCCTGCTGATTCTTCTTCAGACATGCCTCTTCCCAAATGACTTATGCCCTTGTCATCTCAAGTCCACCTCTTCTGCCAGTTTGGAGTGAGTTCCCCACCAAGGGCAAGTTCGCCTTCAGTCATTCATCAAATACCTGCACACAGTGTCCTCTCAGGAGGCGTTTGTTAAATCAACATGTTTTAAACCCTGTAGTTTCAATATTCAAAACATTTTTGCACCTTCTCAATCCTACAAGCTCTTTCAAGGCTGTTCAAATCTGGCCTAGTCCTTGTAAGACTTATTTCTTTATCTTCTCATGAGCCACTAGTGTTTGCTCATCCATTTCCTCTTCTTATTGAGACCTTTTTTTTCCTTCAAGGTCCACCTCAAATCCCATGTCCTTCTTGATTGCCCCACTTGACAACCTCCCCCACCCGCCCCCAGCAGAAGTGATTGTTTCTTCAGAGAACTCCTGCAGACACATTACCTATGCCACATACTTGATAATTATCTACTCCATATTATTAGTCATTTCTTTGATGTTCATAGTCTTGTATCAGCAACCACATTACAAGCCTGAAGACCTGGGTTTTCTCTTTTCCTTGTGTATTTGTCTCTGTCTCTCATTCATATGACCATGCACACACATACTCAGCACATAGCACACAGAGACCTGTACAGAGGAAGCACTCAATATTTGTTGACTTTAGAAAACTAACCGAACTTCACCTTGCCACCTGAATTTTTTATGTAAACATTTTACTGAAGTATATACCTGCATTTTTTTTTTTTTGCCTGCTAGTGAATCGTTATTTTAATTCCATGGTCCTGCTATGAATAGCGTTATTCATAAAGTCCAAAGCTCTGGGGAACTCTGTAGGATCACAGATTTGGTACAAGGAAAGAATCCTTCTTAACTTCACAGCATGCATCTAGCATTCCTTTAACATCTGCAGCTTACCCTTTGACAAGGATATAGTTTCATGTTGTAAGGCTAATGTATAGGGCTGGAGGTGTTGCTCAGTGGTAGAGCACTTGCCTAACACGTGTGAAGCCCTCCATTCAATTTCCAGTGCTGTAAAAAAGAAAGAAGGAAAAAAAAGCATACTTGTAATCCCAGCAACTGTGAGGCTGAGGCAGGAGAATTGCAAGTTTGAGGCCAGCCTCAGCAACTTAGTGAGACCTTCTCTCAAAAAATAAAAAGGGGGTCTGGGGTTGTGGCTTAGTGGCAGAGCACTTGCCTTGCACATGTGAGGCACTGGGTTCAATCCTCAATACCACATAAAAATGAATAAACAAAAATAAAGGTATTAAAAAATAAATGAATAATGGGGCTGGGATTGTGGCTCAGTGGTGGAGCACTTGCCTAGCACATGCACATCCCTGGGTTCAATCCTCAGTACCACATAAAAATAAATACATAAAATAAAGGTATTATGTCCAACTACAACTAAAAAGATATTTAGAAAAATAAGTGCAAATAAAAATAAATAAGGGCTGGGAATGTAGCTAGTGGAAAAATGCCCCTGGGTTCAAGCCCTAACCAAAAAAAAAAGAAGAAAAAGAAAAAAGACTAATGCCTGAAACTAACTCCCCTGCTCCCATTGTAACCCTCGCCTTTTCTTTGTCACTCATTTAATGGGAAGAAACCCTCAGCAGAGAGCTAGAACCTGAATTCTAGTCCTGGTTCTTTGTTCAGTGATCCTGGGCAACTCGTCCAGCCTCTCTGGGCTACACTTCCAATATCTCAGGCAGGAAATTAAACAAGGTCATTAGAGCAGTTTTATCATTTTCATAAAGGTGACTGTTCAAAACTGGAGTAATTGAGGTGAAATCTATTGCCTTATAATGCCACCTTTTGTCCTTAGTTCTTTCTTCTCAGTTACATGACAGGTGAATCCCTGCCATTAGTCAGGAATTCTTGCATTGGATAAAAGGTCCTCTCATCTCATCAAGTTTTGGATTGTTGCCATTTATTATTTATTTCTCTTGCTTCTCTGAATGTACCCCCGGTAGGCGTAGGTTCTTCTCCAGGTGCTGGGTGTGCTTGCATGCTTCTGTGAATACTTGAGGATCTGGAGGGGCGCTTGCCAGCGTATACATCTACCCCAAGTAGATCAATATTTCTACCTGTGACCTGGTGGAGCAGCCCATCTCCCAGCCACTGTCAGAAGAAATACAGGTAGTAGAACAGGCAAGTCTCTTGCCTAGCTCCACCCTTTGAGAATGTGGCAGGGCTGAAACCCAAATATCTGACTCTGATGTGCCAGGCGTATCCATTTACG